ACAAATAACTCACAATAGACAGTGATGCAGAGAGGTTCAGATGTGTTTGTAGGAGGAGGTTGAGATCCTTCTTCTCCCAAGTTCAGCTTTGCTTCACGGCTGATCTGAGCTCCATCATCAGCTCTGTCTGGACGGATCAGGAGTTTAGATGTTTTATTGACTGGACTCTTGGTTGTGTCAGTGAAGCTAGTTTGATCCACCAGAGTTTCTCCTTTGTATTGACAGTGATACTCTGAACAGGAGCTGTTGTGAACTGATACTCCAAGGAATTAACACACGTCCATCTTCATGTAAAGATTGTACTTTATTATAAGCGCACTTGTTAACCGGAACATGCTATAACATACAACCTCGTGGTATGTTCCTCATGCATAACTAATGAGGAGTGCATTCTTAAAGGAGCCGACACATTAAAGTGTAACACTTTATAAACACACAAATCACTTATATTTATAAGACAGATCATCTGTCACAATGATCTACATCCCCTTTCTTTAGATGTAACATCTTACGAAACAAAGAAAACTTATATAACAATAAACAAATTTTCTGCATGACTTTAACTCAATCATTAATGAAAATAAGGATCACTATAATAACAACCATGTGACTAATGCAGAAAAAAATATATAATATCAGGCCTTTTTTTCCTTTTTTTTTCCTTTAAGTGTAAAAAAACAAATCAACAAAATGTAATATTGTCAGCATCACAATAACTATAGTTAACATTTGGGACATATTCAGAACGACAATCAGAGTGCCACAGAGTCTACTATTAGTAAAACTCACTGGTTATATTTAGGGTTTGGCTTAGAAATACGACCTGAACGTGTTCTATAAGGTGTACTACCAACCTTGGTAGGGGATAGTACTGTGTGCTTTGGCAAGTCAGTACCTGTGGATTTTGTTTGTGGAAAGTGTGTTTGTGGTTCAGGGGGAACACTGTCCTGTGTGTGTGTAATTGTTTTGTGAATGTCACTGTCATCAGGGTCAAACCTCGAAGGAGCAGGCTCAGTGACTTGAAGAATGTGGCGTCTGTTCCTTCTGTATGTTTTTCCATTATATTGAATGGTGTAGGAACGAGGCTCCTTGTTTACTTCCTTTACTGTGCCCAGGCGGTCATAACCCTTTGGGGTTTGCATTCTGACAACTTGTCCCTCTGCAAGTGGTTGCAGTGGTGAACTTGAGATGTCGTAGTATCGCTTTTGAGCCATCCTCTTTTTGAAGAGTTGTGCTGCGACTTGCTCGGCTTGTTTGGGAGCTGGCTCTAAGAGCTTAGAGTTGACAGGAATGGCTGACCGTGTCTGTCGTGACAGAAGCCGTTGCGCAGATGAGCCTAACGTCTCGTCACGAGGAGTGTTTCTCAGATTTAGGAGGTTGAGGAATACATCCGTCCCATCCCTGTGGGATTTCTCCATCAACTGTTTAGCACTGCGTACTGCTCTTTCTGCCAAACCATTTGACTGCGGGTATTCTGGACTGCTAGTGACGTGTACAAAGTCCCACTGTTTAGCAAAGTCTCTAAATTGTTGACTTGTGTACTGTCTGGCATTGTCAGAAATTAGTGTGTGCGGTGTGCCATGCACTGAGAAATGTCTTTTCAGTTTTCTGATTACAGCTGAGGATGTCGTATCACGGAGCAGATCAATCTCATACCAACCTGAGTATGAGTCCACAAGCACCATGTAGTTCTGACCACGCCACTCGAACATGTCTGTTGCCACTGTAGACCAGGGCAAGTCTGGAACTGGGTATGGTTTAAGTGGTTCTTTCTGTTGATGTGGCTTTGTGCTATTACAGACTGAGCATGTGATGAGTTCTGCTGTGATATCAGCTGTCATTGTTGGCCAGAAAATGATACTTCTTGCTCTGCGCTTGGTGGCATCCAATCCAGGATGTCCTCTGTGGACTATTTTGATGTATTCCTTCTGTAATGAGCGAGGAATGACTGTTTTGTGGCCTTTCATCACTATTCCATTTTCCACGACTAGTTCATCCCTGTAGGGAAAATATGGATGCAAATCAGGAGACAAGGTATGTTTTTTATTTTGCCAACCTTGTTGGATCACCGTACTGAGAGTCTGTAACACCTTATCCTCTGCTGTTTCCTTTTGCAACTCCTCCAGTCGTGCAGTGGAGATGTAACTGACAGACATGACCTCGAACGTGTCACTTTCAGCATCTGGAGGGACTTTTGTGTTTGGAGCCCGGGAAAGGGTGTCTGCAAGATACATGTGTTTGCCTTTCTTGTACACGAGAGTGATGTCAAAGCACTGTAACCTGAGCATCATTCTCTGTAATCTTGCAGGGGCAGTGTGAATGGGTTTCTTTAAAATCGTCACCAGGGGCTGGTGGTCTGTTTCAACAACCACAGATTTCCCATACACATAATCCCTGAATTTGGTGCAGGCGAATACAACAGCTAGCAGCTCCTTTTCGATCTGTGCGTATCGAGTTTCTGTGTCAGTGAGTGTGCGAGATGCATACGCGACTGGTCTGCCATCCTGCATACATGCAGCACCGAGTCCAAAACATGAGGCATCACAGGTTAATGTGACGGGTTTCTTTACATCATAGTATGACAAGACAGGTGGCGTTGTCAAACATGATTTGAGAGTATCAAATGCTTCTTGGTGTTGGTGGTACCAGCACCATGCAGTGTCTTTGTGCGTTAACTTTCTTAGAGGTGCAGCAACATCACTTAAGTTTGGAATAAACTTCCCTAGGTAATTTGCCATACCAAGGAAGCGCTGCAATGCTGGGACATTTTTTGGAGCTGGCATCTCAAAAATTGCTTTTGTTTTTGAGGGATCAGCCTTTAAGCCTTCACTAGTAAAGACATGGCCTACATAACTCACTCGGTCCAGACGGAACTTACATTTTGCAGGGTTTAGTTTGAGTTTGACATTGCGTGCTCGATTCAACACTCTTTTCAGATTAGCATCGTGTTCAGCAGCATCACGGCCTCCGATGATGATGTCATCAACGATGATAGAACAGGGGTAGCCAGAGAAAAGCTGCTCCATTGAGCGCTGGAACACTTCGCTTGCGGAGTTTATGCCAAAGGGCATACGAAGAAACCTATAGCGCCCAAACGGTGTGCTGAATGTAGTCAACATAGAGGACTTGCGGTCTAGACGTATCTGCCAGAAAGAGTTCTTTGCGTCCAGCACAGAAAACACTGTTGCTCCCGACATCTGGGATGCTACTTCCTCTACACTGCGCATCGGGTGATGAGGTCTTTTTAGGGCAGTATTGAGATCTTTAGGATTTATACACAGTCTGATTTCTTGTTTGTCTTTTTTATGCGTCACGACCATGGATGAAACCCAGTCTGTTGGCTCAGAGACTGGTGTTATGACACCCAAAGTTTCCATGCGGTCTAGCTCTGCTTTAACACGATCCTGCATGGCCAGTGGAATTCGATGTGCAGGGCGAACTACCGGCTGCACGCTTGGGTCAATTGTCATGGAGTATGTGATTGGAAGTTCTCCAAGTTCGTCAGTAAACAAGTCTTTGTATTCTTCAAGCACTTGTTCCGTGGATTTTTCCATACTGACCAGATGAACATGTGGGCTCATCGTGACAATCCCTAAATCCAGGCATGCACGAAATCCTAAAAGTGGTTGTACATCTTGATCCACCAAGAAAAACGGGAGTGAGTGTCTTTGTCCTTTTAAATTACACTGCAGTGTAACTAAGCCTTTTGTCTCAATTTTACTCCCACCATAAGCCACAAGGTTAGGTGTGTTTTCTTGCTCCACTGGTTGTATATTAGTAGCAATTCGCTTGAATGTTGTTTGTGACATGACGTTACATTTTGCCCCAGTGTCGACTTTCACCTCTATTGGAGTTTTGTTAATGTGTAAGGTTACAAATCCTTCTTCCTGCTCAGCCATGAAAGAGTTAACAGTGTCGACACACTTATCAAATTCAACGCCATCAACATAAAAAGTGTCGTCAAATGCAGGGGGCTTCTCTATTTCAAGCTCCTGAACTGCCTTTTTGTAGTTTGCTTTCTTTTGTACATATTGGCAACGCTGTCTGCAACATTTTTTGAAATGATTCATTTTTCTTGCAGTTGTGGCACAGCTGTCCAAAAGCTGGACATTTTTCTTTCTTTGCCAAATGGCTGTTTCCACAGTTTTTACAGTTATTTATAATCAGTGAATCATTCTGTTCTGTTTTAGGCTTTCGTCCTGTGTATTGGCGCCTCCTGGTGGAAACTGGACGTACTGCATCCACGTTAGTGGCCGTCTGTGGCATCGCCAATGTTTTATTACTTTCTTCAGTCATTTCATATATGCGACATATGGAGATGGCTTTGATCAGTGTTAGATCACTGTCTCTTAACAGTGCTTTCCTTAAGCCTTCACTTTTGATGCCACAAACTATCCTGTCACAGATCAGCTCGTCTGTCAAATCACCAAATTGGCATGCTTTTGCTTTGATCCTCAGATCGCTAATAAATGACTCAATAGTCTCACCTTGTTTCTGGTTTCTAGAGTGAAACTTGTGTCTCTCCAAAGTTTTGTTTTGCTGTGGGTTGCAAATTTCTCGAAACTTCCTTTTCAGGCATTCAGGATCCTCCTTTGATTCAGCGGGAGTTAAAACAGCGCCATTCTCACCCGGAGCACGCACCTCTGCTGCATAGACGAATGAACGCTCTCGTTCTATGGCCTCCGGTCCTGCGAGATTGAGGAGGATATAGGCCCTTGTCTTGGCAGGCTTATCGTGGTGTGCTGCCGCGATGAAAATGTCGTATTCCTGCTCAAAGATTCGCCAGTTGTCAGCAACATTTCCTTCGAAAGAGAGCGGGTCGGGTCTCCGAAAGCAATCCGCCATAGTCACACTATGCGGCTTTGGTAAAGAGAAAAAAAAAACTTTATGAGCAGTCTTTGCTTTCCATCAAAATGGCTTTAAACTCAGGCGAGAAATCCGTGCCGTTTTCTGACACCATGTTGTGAACTGATACTCCAAGGAATTAACACACGTCCATCTTCATGTAAAGATTGTACTTTATTATAAGCGCACTTGTTAACCGGAACATGCTATAACATACAACCTCGTGGTATGTTCCTCATGCATAACTAATGAGGAGTGCATTCTTAAAGGAGCCGACACATTAAAGTGTAACACTTTATAAACACACAAATCACTTATATTTATAAGACAGATCATCTGTCACAATGATCTACAGGAGCCACATTGTAAACGTCACACTGGAGCTTATACTGGTTTCCCTCTATCATTGTTTGATTCACAGTCCTGATGGAAACACTGTCTGAAGTCTCTGTGGAGGAAGATTCACACACTCTGAAACCTGCAGTCATCAACCTACATTTATTAGAGATTTCTGAGAATGAAAATACACAGATAATAATAACAGAGAAACTCACTGTAAACAGTAACTGGCAGATCTACTTCACACTGTTGATTGTCATAATTCAAGTAGCAGAATGGTGACTGTATCTCCCAGTCTGTCAGCTGTGACACTCTCCATGTGATCAGACTGGCTGTGGACAGGGGTACTCCTCCCACAGTGGATTCCCATCCCATCCCATGATGTGTGACAGAAGTGCTGCAGTTTACTGAAACAGAATTGCCGTACTTCACAACAACACTCCATGGGCTGATCTGAAGAGGACATTCAGCAAGTGTACCTGTTAAACACAACGAGATAAATGTGATTCAGCACACAACAGCAGAACCAGGCATGTGCACAGGTAGAGGTCACCTGTACAGAGCACATGCCATTTTTATCTGAAGTGACTTTTTAAAATAAATATTTGTTCATTAATAAATTAATACTACTGGTCCCTCTTAATGTCTGCCAGTTTTTTTTTTACGAATATATTTATAATGTTAAAGTAATGTGATGCCAGTGTTTTAATGATGGACAAATAATACATTTGCATGCTTAAGCTGGTCAAAAACCCACCCGTAACTGCATTTGAGTTTGACACAGAGGAAAAGCAACTTCTTCAGCTGTATCTGAAATCGACCCTATACCCTCAAACAGTACAAGAATTAGTCATTTTTAGTGGTGTCGAAACCATAGAAGACATTACGAAATTCACTCAATCAATTCCACAATGCAAAGTAATAATGAGTGTTCCACCCATGTACACTCAACAGCTAGACAATCCCCATAATGCAGTGCACCGTGAGTTCATGTGCCAAATGAATTATTTGAGCATAAAATGACATCTAAGCACAATACTACCCATGTGTGTAACTAAAAAAAGAAAACGATTGAATTAAAGTAACGTTTCTACATGACAGAAATCAAAAGTCTTTGTTTCATTAGGCTTCATTACAACTATTGCAGGGTCTGACTAAGGAGATGAAAATCTAATCTCTCTGAGGGGTTATCATCCAGCAAAGCACAAACAAAATAGCATCTCTTCCGGTCATTCACTAACTCATTTTATTCACTCCTTTAAGTAAACTATATTAGTGGACTAATGTATAGAATGCAGGGCTGGTCAATCCTGTTCCTGGAGAGCCACCTTCCTGCAGATTTCAGTTGCTACCCATATCAAACACACCTGATCTAATTAATTAGGACCAGAACACCACGTGATAATTACAGGCAGGACTTCGGACACAGTCTTCTTCTTCTGTGATTTTTCTTTGACAGCTTTGCAAACTGTGTGCATTAACCGCCATCTGCTGGACTGAGGTGTGATCTCTTTGCTACATTCAGAAATTCTAAAACTACATTGACTGTATTGATTGTATTTCACAGAGCAACTTCAGTGGTCCTTGTCGGCTAGTTAGGGGCAGATTGAACCATTAAGCAAAGGTAGGGGATTATCTTAAGCTACATACCTCAGTTTCCCCCATCAACCTACACACAAACAAATCTTGTTGTACCTTTCTTTATTTTATTACAAATATTAAAAGTTTGTTGAAAAATGCATCAGAATACTGAGATTATTTTAGTGTCAGACAGGAAGGGCGTGCAGCCAAGAACACCACCACTATTGGACTACTACATTATTAGCTTAATGGTACAGCTGTAGAATCGCTGAACTGATCGACAGGTAACGTGTGTACAACATAAACTGTATTAAACAGAGCTGAAAAGTAGGGAAGCTGCCCAATGAGTGTAAGACATGGGTAGAAAGAAAAACTACCAAAGGTAATGAATCCTTTTGTTCACCACAGTGAAATAGTATAGCATAACACATAAAAGTAGCTCATATATGCTATCCAGCTGGTTTTGACATCTGTCTTGCTTCTCTTGAAGTTGCAGATAAAAATACTCTGCTGTTTTTATTCCAGAATAACAGCTAAATTCACTGTCAGAAAAGATAAATGACTCTAGCTAGATTTACTGTTGTAGATGAATGCTGTGGACACCAGTGCAACTACAGCAAGATTAACAAAACTTAAACCTGACATATTGTCATGACCTGTACAGACTGTTGAATGTGGGCTTAGAGAATAAATCAGCACAGTCCACAGTACAGAGATAATGAAGCTTTCCAACGGAACACTCCAAACTTAAATTATAACAAATTATGATTATTTATTTTACAGCAGAGCTTAAAACATGTTTAGACTAATTTCATAACATCTCTCGGAACCAAAAAGGTTGAGATTAAACGCACAAACCTAAGAGATCCAGAAGCTGTGAAACTGCAAAGAGAGAAACAAGTCCGAAGAAATGCTGAAGCATGTTGTGTCTGATCAGGAAAGCTGAACTATGCTGTAAATCAACTTTATCACTGTCACTTTGAATGGAAGGTCTATGACTGCTGCTTGTCGAAGCTTGAGCGAGTTGAGAAGAGAAGTGTTTTTGAGGTGAAATTATTGACTGCAAAATAGAGAAATGAAACCAAACCATTTCTATAAATATAGACTGAATCCTCAGAATGAGTGAAAGATATACCCTAACCAAATCAACAGATCATCAGTGTAGTGGCTCACGAAAACAAGACAGAATAAAAAAAAAAGACCTCTTCAGATCAAGCCTCAGCCTCATATCCTCTATGGATCACCATCCTTAGGGGTTAGAGCAATAGTAACTGGATGCAGCTTTTATGATGCAAGCTGAAATTGCATCACTCAGCAATGCAATATCAGACACAATGCACTCAAATGGAGCGAGTGACATCACTGTGAGGGTGGGGTTAGGTGAGCCCATTAAAAAGCATTGGATGCAGGTCAGATTGCACTTCACCAGGTCGGCAACCAGACCCCTCTCGGTTAGAGTGCCTTAACCCACATCTGTCTGGATCCACCTTGGTCAGATGACACCCTGCTATTTTCAAAGCCTTTCAGACCTCTGGATGTGGCTCAGGTGTCCACGGCTTTGGCTCCACTTTTGTCTTCATCCACTTCCGCTCCACCACAGTCCTCCAACCCCAAAGCTCTGGCTAGATCATTCTTTCATCTGATTTTCTACTGCCAAATCTTCCATGGGCATTCCATCATGAATTTTAGAAATGAAACCACCTATTTTGCTGTTGTGTTATATTTAGTGTTACAAATTAAAGGATTATCTTTGTTTTGTTACAGAAATTTGCCACAGCCGTATCACTCTACATTAAACTGGTTGCCCACTGAAGGTAAACAGGGTTGTGGCTGGCCAGTAGGCCACCTGGGAAAACTAGGTTGCCGTTGATAGCTAGTAAGGCGTGAGTGTATTTACCCAGTGATCTGTGCGGGTTGCAGAATCTGAAATTTGTGATAACCTGTCTGTGCTTTAAATAAGATCAGTCATATATTATATCATGTTTTGTTTTTGTTTTGTTTTGTTTTGTACTGGTAATTTCATTATTCATTCATTCATTTTCTTTTCGGCTTAGTCTCTTTATTAATCTGGGGTCATCACAGTGGAATGAACCACCAACTTATCCAGCAAATATTTTATGCAGCGAATGCCCTTCCAGCTGCAAACCATCACAGGGAAACACCCATACATTCTCATTCACAGCACACATACACTACAGACAATTTAGCCTATTCAATTCACCTGTACCGCATGTCTTTGGACTGTGGGGGAAACTGGAGCACCAGGAGGAAACCCACGCCAACATAGGGAGAACATGCAAACTCCACACAGAAATGTCAACCTTTCTGTGACCTTCGTGCTGTAAGGCGAGAGCGCTACCCACTGCGCCACCGCGTCACCCCAGCAGGAGAGATGTTAAAGAAATTGTTGTTGTTTTAACATTGTTTACTTTTCCCCCCAAAACAGACAATATTCACAGTAAGATAAATAGATAATTCACAAATTAATTGTTAATAACAGTGTTCTGCAGGCTTCCTGGACGATATAACATTCAAAGTGCAGTTTGGCATATTCTGGGCTCAAGTGCTTTTCTGTAAATGTAGTACGTCTAGACTATATTTTATTAATAAACTGTAAATGAAGTAATTTTTTTATGTCCTTGTGTTCATTAATTACTTTATATTAAATTGTTTTTTTTTTCAATGCTTTTTAAGGGGAGAAAATGTGTAATTTCAACTTTCATATTCTGGGCTATATTTTGCTTGTCTGTAAACAGCAGGCTTATAATGTGTAGTGAATTTGTTAATCCATGGTCTCATACAGCACACAGTTTTAAATACTAGAAAAAGAAACAAAAAATACAAATTTAATTTATTAATTTACAATTTCTGATATCAATTTAGCAAATGTAAAGTTGAAAAAAGAAAGAGAAATGGAAAAATCACTTTATTAAGTACATGAAAAAAAGGAAAACAAAAATTTGGTTTAATTTATTTTTACATTTTCATCATTTGGTCTGAAATTTTTACTGTAAAGTGTTACAGGGACCAACACAGAACTCAGCTGAGATAACTGGAGGATACAACAGAATAGTCCAAAAACTGGTCAATGGTGTTCACAGTAACATTTAGAAGATCTGAGTTGAGAGAAGTTGATTTTGCTGTTCTGTTGTTAAAAACAAAACTTCTTGCATTCCCAAACACTTCTTGTATGATGCTCACATTCACAAACACAAAAGATTTTCAAAAGCTGTGCAACAAATTAATAATGCTGAATAACTTGTGAATGGTTTTTTACAGGGTGGGAAACAAACCTAAGACACTAAAGATCTACATCAAAAATAGTACCATACATAGTAGTATTCATTTGATTTTGTGGAAATAATGTTCATCTTAATAGCAACTGCAGCAGAAAAATGTAGTATTTTGATAATGCATAAAACAGTGGATTATATTTGTAACAGTTAAATATCCTCAACAATTAAACTATTAATATGTTAATACACTGATAGATTATACATGATCTTATATCATGACAATAAAAATAATCTTTTTCAGGGATCATCAGATGCTAACATCTCAAAGCAAGACATTATTAGGATACAGCGGTTCCCTGATTGTGCATATCAAGCCTCACAGCCTTCCTGATAGGTGAACCGCTACAAGTTCACATATTTTAAATGAGTTTCCAGTACATTAGTCCAAGTGTACGAAGGGTATCAAACACAGTAGTATCAAGTCGAAGGGCTGGCGGCAGGCAAACACAGGGTGAGTAAGCAGGCGTGGGTCAGAGGCTGGCAGCAAGGATCAAAGTCAATATTTAGGCTAGGGTTCAGGGCAGGCAGCAGGCAAGACAAGGTCGAGATCCAGTCCAGGTAAGCAATGGGAAAGCAGGCTATGACGAGTCACACTCAGTGGTGTTTGCTGTGGCAGAACAAGACTTCACACTGAGGTGTGTGTGTGCTGCTTATATGTGTGAGCATGGTGATTAGGAGATGTGCTGCAGGTGTGTGCGACAATCAGTCAGTGGGGATGACGTAATGTCAAAAGTCCGATGATGATGACCTCTGCTGGCCTGCACGGGGAATGACTGAGACCGAGTCGGTGACACCAAGACTGGAGAAAATGAAATTAAATTCAGCGACTTATTCTCTCCTACGAGACAAACGTGGATGGAACCACCAGAAGGCAAGAGCCTGTGACAAAAACAGAAAGTGTTACTGACTGTACTACTGGAAACAACACACAATGAATCTCAATGCTTCAGAGTTAAATAAACTTCTAAAGCTGTTCTCTTATAAACAAAGATTCTAAATATTTTTTTTTAAATGAGAAAGGTTTTTCATGGAACCATTATATCAATAAAGAGCTCTCATTTTGAGTGTACAGAGGAGTGACTGGTTTTACAGCCAGAAACCAAACATGACAAACCCCTGCATCTCACAACCAGGAGAATACAATTACAGTTATAAAACCGCAAATGTGCAGTCAATTCATTTATTAATGTATCGAGAGTAATACCATCTCACTTGTAACCCACATGTAGATCATACGATGAACACTTTGCTGTCTTCTCCCAGATAGTTTGCAGCGGTGCAGGTGTAGTTTCCTGGACTGAGTGTGGAGGACTGGATCACTGAGGAGCTGATCTTCTCTATCAGATGCTTCGAGTGCCATGTGTACACAGCCGCCGGGTTTGCCTTCACTGTACAGTTTAAAGAGACATCATCACTCTGACTGATCTTCTCTGTGGACCTGGAGTGTTTTGGTTTATCTGAGGAGCACATAGGAACAAATTTTCAGCACTACAGCAAAGACATGATGAGAAGCTGCTATTAATACATCAGTGAAATTACTGAGTAACTGATCATTTTTAATCTAGTAATTTAATTCATAGTACTATATGATCAAATTGTTGTAGAACTCTAAATATGAGAGTCGAACAGACCAAAAGGTCCTAATGAACTTGCAAGTTTAGCATTATAAAAGCTTACAGTGAACTTTAATGCTGAAAGACTTTGATGTAACTGTAGGAGGATGTTGAGGTCCTTCGTCTCCCAAGTTCAGCTCTGCTTCACACCTGTACTGAGCTCCATCATCAGCTCTGTCTGGACGGATCAGGAGTTTAGATGTTTTATTGACTGGACTCTTGGTGGTGTCAGTGAAGTTGGTTTGATCCACCAGAGTTTCTCCTTTGTACCAGTTGACAGTGAGTTTTTGAACAGGAGCCACATTGTGAACGTCACACAGGAGCTCATACAGGTTTCCCTCTATCATTGTTAGATTCACAGTGCTGATGGAAACACTGTCTGGAGTCTCTGTGGAGGAAGATTCACACACTCTGATACCTGCAGTCATCAACCTACATTTATTAGATATTCTGAGAATTAAAAGACAAAAGGTAATGACAGAGGAACTCACTGTAAACGGTGACTGGGAGAGCTACTACACACTGTTGTTTGTCATAGTTTATGTAGCAGAATGGTGTATATATGTCCCAGTCTGTCAGCTCTGACACTCTCCATGTAATCAGACTGGCAGTGGACAGGTGCACTCCTCCCACAGTGGATTCCCATCCCATCCCCATATGTGTGACAGAAGAGCTGCAGTTTACTGAAACAGAATCGCCGAACTTCACAACAACACTCTGTGGGCTGATCGGAAGAGGACATTCAGCAAGTGTACCTGTTAAACATAATGAGATAAATGTGATTCAATATATAAGAGCTGAACAGAATTTTGCAAGCAGACATGCTTCGAAAGTTTTGTAAATTATAGAGGAAGGCTGATTAGTTATTTACCCAAAAGCTAACTTTTTTTTTTTTTTTTTTTTTTGCTGTTGAAGTCTTTTAATTGTCATAATCATTACATGCACAATATTTGAAAAAAAAAAACAATAAAAATTTAAACAAGTCATCTAAAAGAAATGAAGCACTCCAATTTAAAACTTCAAGCTTTTAAATATGATAAAATTCACATTAATATAATAATAAAGCTTAAAACATATTTAAACATTCTTTAAAACGCATCTTAAAAAAAAACACAGTATTAATTAAACACACAAACCTGAGAAACTGATAAGCTGTGCAAGTGCAGAAAGAAAAAAAAGTCCAAAGAAATTCTGAAACATATTGCATATAATTAGGAAAACTGATCTGAACAATGTTGTAGATCAACTTTATTGCTGAAACTTTGACTGTAAGGTCAATGACTTCAGTTCATCAAAGCTTTAGTGGGTGGAAATGAACAGAGTTTTCGAGAGATGTTAACCCATTTGTGCCCAAATTTTTCTAAATGGTTTCATGCATGCTTGTTAACAGTATCCCATATAAACATGTTTTGTATTTATTCTCCCCAGGTTTGAATTTTTTTTGTTGCTAGAAAATAGTATTTGAATATGCGGCAACTATGATAGCCGGTGGGCAATTATGTTGTATGCACACTTCAAAGTAAAATTTGAACAGGAGGAGAACATTTGGCATTCTAACTCAAAACAACTGTACTCGACAGACCAATTCCTATTCATAAACGAATTTATTACTTAAAAGTCAAAGGTTATTTGACGTAACCACCCCCGAAAACATATCTTTTAGCATATAATATAATAATTGTGAAAACACAAAGAACTAATCCATTTGTCCTAAGGCCGGCTCACACTGTGAGATTTCAGCAACAATTTTGACATCTGAGACAAGTTTGGGAAGTCCTAAAAGATTCCTGAAATCCTAGGCTAAATCTGGTGATCTTTGATTGTTGGTTCGACATGTTCATAGACGGCTGCTTAATTCCTGTTGGGATCAGATTTTTCCTCTGGTGAAGTTCTGGCAGTGTCAGACGATTTCAGACACTTTCCTGCTGTAAGACAACAGCTGGGATGAGCATCAATCCAATAACCAATAGGAGCTCCGAATTTGATGGCGCAATCCATGTGACAATGCAAATGACCACGGGGAAATGTCGAAACAGTTTTTTTCTTCCTGGTTTTGTTATTGAGACATGCCGTGTGCAAAATTGACGCTACAGATTGTTTAGGCTTGCTGTGAGGAATCATTTCAGAACGCGGCATAGTAAAAGTGTTATGGGTGTCACGCATTTTTTTGGCGTGTCCTCTTTGTCGTTCAGTCTGACTTTATGACAGCTGAGATCTTACAGTGTGACATGGGAGCCATGTTCGTTCAGTCTGACATGCTACAATCATTCAGGATTATAAAAAAAATCGCACAGTGTGAGCCGGCCTTTAGTGTGATGAAACGCACATTAATAGCACTTAAACTCTTTCAAGTGCATAAAAACACTTTAAACTTCACCAATCAGATGATTCCTGAGCCCATATAAAGTAAATACCCTAAGTTCCATATAACAGCCATCTTCGTTTCGAAGAATCCCCCTTCCACCATTGCTCCTCCTCCTTTCCAAGATGGGTGGCATGGTGGCCCAGTGGTTAGCAATGTTGCTTCACAGCAAGGCCGTCACTGGTTCTAGTCCTTACCAAGCCAGCCAACGTTTCTTTGCGGAGTTTACACGTTCTTCCCATGCTCACGTGGGTTTCCTTCGTGTTCCCTGGTTTCCTCCCACCATCCAAAAACATGCAAAGTTAATTGCTTAAGTTAATTGACTAATCCAAATAGGCACCATAGACATGCTCCTAGTACGTAGTTATCTCTTAAGAGCAATCACCATCTGTTCATTAGCTACTACAGCAGGGGAGTTCTCGAGATCTACCTGAGGGCTCGAGGATCTTATGAGCTCAGAGCTTTCTCCCAAGACAGCATGCCAAAGAAGCTTTATAATCAATCATCAGCTGAGTGTGAACTCTTGAACCTTGATTTATCAATTTATTTATTAATCTGGGGTCCCCACAGCGGAATGAACCGCCAACTTATCCAGCATATGTTTTATGCAGCGGATTCCATTCCAGCTGCAACCCATCTCTGGGAAACATCCATACACTCTCATTCACACTCATACACTACGGACAATTTAGCCTCGCCAATTCACCTGTACCGCATGTCTTTGGACTGTGGGGGAAACCAGAGCACCAAGAGGAAAACCACGGAAACGCAGGGAGAACATGCAAACTCCACACAGAAACACCAACTGACCCAGTCGAGGCTCGAACCAGCGACCTTCTTGCTGTGAGGCAACAGCACTACTACGAATAAATGTTTCTCAACAAACATAATAATAATAATAATAAAGAATTTTAGCAACATGAAATTTGTCTTTATCTAGGAGAGTTTAACTCCATTTTGCATCCTGTAATTAGGAGTAGGAAGTTGAAAGCATCGAGCAATAGGAATGAAGTCAATTGCATCTTTTTTATTTTTATTTTTAATCTTATATTTGGTTGTTTACTTGCATGTCATCGAGAAATCAAATATAGATAACATGTAAAAAATTACTTCAATATGAAAATTGGCAACTATGAACTTAGCTATAGCTGCCGGTGGGCTCCAATGCAGAACTGAAACCAAATGAAAGGAACCCTATTCAACAAATCATCAGTGTAGAGGTGCATTCCAAAAAAAAAAAAAGACCTTGAAAAAGAACTTGACGACGCAGTGGCGCAGTGGGTAATGCTGTCATCTCACAGCAAGAAGGTCGCTGGGTTGCTGGTTCGAGCCTCGGTGTTTCTTTGTGGAGTTTGCTTATTCTCCCTGCATTCGCGTAGGTTTCCTCCGGGTGCTCTGGTTTCCCCCACAGTCCAAAGACATGAGGAACAGAATACATTCAGTAATGTAATGCTACTGTTCTCCTTCGGATGGGGAACTTCAATGCTATAGTGGATTTAATCCACTTATGGGAATTTCGTTCAGAAAGCCAATTGTCTGAAAGAGTATATAAACAGGCCAATGGAATGCCAATGAATTGGCAGCGTCAGCTTGCGCACCTGATTCTTGTTGCAATCAAATTTAGCAATATAAGCACAGGGAAAGCAAGGAGAGGCATCCTTTTTTCTTCAGAGACTTCACAGCCTTCTGAGAGAGTCGATGAGGGTTCATCATCAGCGATTCTGAGCTAACGATATCGTTCTTCCGGTCCAACGTGTGATACATGCTGGGTTTCTCCCTTGCCTGGCATTCTTTGGGTCCGGTGTATATTGCACTTTCACCTAAAAGAGCAACACAGTCATGCAGCACGTCCTTTTCAGGACATTGATCCGACCGTGCATTTCTGGATGCGGTGGTTTTCTGCCCCTGGATGATGGGCACGAGCACTGCGTTGCACGTCTGGTGTCCAGCTTGTTAATGCGGTGCTTGCGGGCAGTGCATGCCATCACTGCGGCGGCATGTCTGTTGCGCAGTTAAGATCACGGGTTACTCTTGCAAAAGAGCCATCCACCCAAGATGTCTCCCGCTCCACGGCTGGCCACTCGGGCAGATCTGAGGGTTACAGTGGGATTAAATCTGCCGCCCTCGGGCTTGTGGACCTCTCGCTCCTCCACGGGCTCCATCCAAGCTTCGAGTGACATAGCCTCCCATACCTTACTTCCCGGAAGTGCACAATGGGCTCAAACAGTCTGTAGGCCACATTTCTCTGCTCAATCTGCGTGCGTCCCTGTCACACTACCCTTGTTTGGTGAGCAGGTCTCCAGATTGAGAGTGCCATTGCGAGCCCGCATGGTTCCTCTTTCTCCTGGAATATGCCTCGTCTCTTGTCCAAAGCGTGTTGTTTTTTTGCCTCCCTGAAGCCAGAGCCCACACAGCCGTGGGCTAGGCTGCTTCCACCCTGCATGCTATGGTCCATGCACACGCGCTGGCCCAGCTTCATAACGGTGGTTCCAACCCAGGCTTGTTACAAGCCCTGCACCGCACCCGACTGAGCTCCACTTACCTCAAGTCTGATTTAATTATTATGTAATTTCTAACAAAATCTGGTCATCCAAGAAACACCACAGCAAGTGAACTTTTGGGGGAGTTCATTGTGCTTCTAAATAATTTTGAGCTACTATTGGTCCGTAGTGATTACACAAACAGTGGGTGTCTTCTGAAACTTTGAAGCTTTTTATGAAGTGCAATTTGTTCCCCCCAATTAATTTCTCATTCCACAGAGGTCTGACAGGAGAACAAAATCCAAAACAACAACAATATGTCAGCAACATAAACATCAACAAACAAGGAGAATAAAGTGGCAGAGCTGGTACAGATGTGTTCGCACCTTCACAATCACTTGCTAAAGTTTAAAGACAGGGGTGTCACACACCAGATAAGATGAGCCACCTTGTTACACCACATCTTATGAAGCTGTAAACATTGTTTCATTCGATGTTTGTCAGCAGCAAATGGAGAGAAAAAATATATGTGATGAAGTGATTCTTCTTGTGCAGCAGGCTGGAGGAGGCTGACAGATGTTTGAATAATGTGTGACAGAACTGTTCTTCTGTCTCAGGCCCCGTTTACACTAGTGCGTTTTAGTTTTAAAACGGCGTTGTAGAATGAAAATGATCCGCGTCCACACTCGCGTTTTACCCAGCGTTTCTGAACAGCTCTCCGTCCACACCAAAACGCTGAAAATGCACATCACGTGACCACACACACACTCTCGGGCAAGCGCTCCAGCATTTCTACCCAGATGAGAGCTCTGCTTGTCGGACTGCTCATCCAGCATCTCCCGCTGGATCTAATCTCACTATATTTGCTAAACGTGATATTTCATTCATGTTGTTGTCTTATTTAACGACATAGGCCAATTCCCTGACTTTGGTCATTGGAATCTATTAAGTTACTTGTTCACGGGTAACATGTTTTGGTTAAGTGCAAAGATAAGTTAATGATTAATCCAGGTATATTGACTGATCGCTTGCCTTTATTTCCTACAATGTATAAACTTATTGTATGTTATACTTTTATAATTGTCGATTATTAAAACTGATATTCAGCAAAAGAGAGGGTGCGTTTCGTATTTTTACTGAAATTGAAAAGAGGCAGTTGTCGGCTCCGTTTTGTTATAAATATCCACACAGTGAAGATGACGCTCATATATGCAGCACGACGCCTCAACATTTCTGCTGTCTGTTAAGTTTTCTAATATTAAAAAGAAAATAGGCAGTTCCTTAAATCATGTTTACATTTTATTGTTGAGAAAGTGAAACAACGTAGCCAAGGTGATGTGTATGAAGTTATAAAGTACACTGTTCCCTTTGAAGATTTACGCGTGTCCTCGGTATGTTTTCCATATCAAACTGGGAAGGGGGAGACTGCAGCCTTGATCAAACTTGCGAAGTCTTAACTTACAAGAAGAGGATGCGAGACTGAACTGTGTGTGTTAGGCTACTTAATATTGAGGAAAAGCCCCAATCAGATAGGCGAACGTTTGCAGCCCCGCCTCCGTTTTCAGATGTCTCCGTCTTTCCCCATCCACACTGAGACGGAGCAGCAGCGTTTCAGAATGAAAACGGCCTCTCCAGCGTTTTCAAAAAGCTCCGTTTTCGGCGCTCGAGAACTCCGGCGTAGTGTGGACGGATGGCGTAACCGTAGCAAAACTTATGCGTTTTCAAACTAAAACGCACTAGTGTA